CAGTTGGAACAAATAATGCTTACTAATCCATACCTCGATAAAACCTCACTGCCGCAAGAAGAAGGGTAGTGTAGACTGAATTCAACGACAACAGAATGGGAAACCAGGCGAAAATATTCGCAAATTCTCACAGGAAATAAAATCAAAATAAAACTTTGTTTCTGTTTTGCGTGCTATTCGAATGTAAAATTGTTATAATGAATTGAGGAATTATGTATAGCTGTACCATCAGTCAGTCACTTATGTGCCATGCGTGACGACGCAGATTTTTTTCCCAGCAGTATATAGCAATTTCTTTCTGCGATAAACCAGTTGCCATCTAAGGCTATAGAACCAGGTCTGTCCTGCTATTTACCCATAGCTGTGGGAGAAGAAGAGGATTCATACCTTTCCCAAGCATGTTAGTGAATATAATGGATACGATTGGAATTCGAACTCGACTCTCTGATTCTTCAATCCATTACTCCACCGTGCATACAAATATAGAAATATAAATAAATACAAGTCTTTGTAAAAACGTTTATAGTCTAGAGAAAAACGGCTGTGCTGGTAATCAACGGGATAAAACAACTGAAACGCATGAAAGATATGCACTAAGGGGAGTAACATGGCGATCGTGCTAATCTTGAAATTTTTTTGTTAGTTGATTAGTTGCTCAGAATAATTAATCAAACAATTTAGCATCTATTTTATCGGAATCTACAACTGCATTCGCTGGTTCCCAGACTTCATAAATTCAAGCGCCCTACGAGGCTGGCACCCCGCTCTCACCCTTTCACTGTTGAAACTATTAAATTTAGCCGTCTCTTCTACTCCAATAGCTTCATATCTCTCACATCTCGCCTGTGGAACTCCCTTCCTTATTCCAGTTTCTCTGAGAGCTATAATCTCCAACTATTCAAATGTAATGTCCATCTTCTATCACTCTATCTGATCTTGCTCCAAATTTTCTGTAACCCCTTGCGTCCTAGTGGTTTCCCGCCTTGCTTGGGGTGAAACGCTTAAATAAAAAAAAATGTTCCTTAGAGTAATTAATCAAATAATTTAGCATACATTTTAACAGAATCTACAGTCATTCTTTTTCTTCCACAGAAATTTTAGTAATTTGAATTGTCTTCATACGCTTTAAAGGTTGAAAAGCCAGTATATCTGGATATTCTTTCGCTATGTGCACCTCAAGAGGTTTGTTGAAATTACAGTCGTTTGTGATAAAATTTACCGTAAACTCCGTTGGTTTCACCTTGTTGTGTCGGATATCATACATGTGGCCTTTAAACCTCTTGTTTAATTTTTACGTTGTGAAATAACTTTAAACCAAGTGCTGGAGCGATTAGATCAGAAACGGAGTCTTGCTATGAGGGTGAATCGTGTTAGAAGGAAAGAAAACAAGGCAACGACATTCAGGGAGAGCGTGTCACATGCATGGGTTGCAAACGAGGCTGACACACCTGTGTAGGCATATACAGGTATAACAGATGCTGCGCCGCCATCAGCAGCTGAGGCATAACTTTTGGGGCGTAGATGCATGGTCTTTCGAGACAAACTGATGCCACATATGCGCAATAATAATAATAATAATAATAATAATAATACTATCTACGCCAAACGACTAAAACAGGAATCAAAACAACTTGGCCAAATGAAATAACAAAAAAACTGGAAGAACAAGACGTTGCATGGCAAATGCCTAAAAAGAACGGAAAAAGAAGATGGGGACCAACAGAAAACATATCAGTGCCTGCGGAGGATCGGGTTGAAAGCCGAGACTGATCGTCTAATTACAGGACCAAAGCTTCGCAACCAGATCCTGCCATATATTCAAAGACAGAACTAACCCGAAATGCAGGATATGCGGAAAATATGATGAAACTGCCGACTATATTACATCCGGGTGTCCGGAACTAGCAAAAAATGAATATACTAACAGACATAACAGGTGCACTGGAAGATATGTAAGAAGCACGAAATCGAAACAACTGAGTGATTGTATGAGCACCAACCAGACACAGTTACCCAAAATAACGATGTAACTATCCATTGGGACATGTCAATTCAAACTGACAGGGAGATAAATGCCAACAGACATGATATTATCATAAAAGAAAAGAAATTCAGGAACTGTATGATAACTGACATAGCAGTACCATCTGAGAGAAACACCTCTATGAAAGATTATTGAAATATTGTTCAACTACAGGGACCTGGACATCGAGATTAACGGAATGTGGGGAATGAAGACTGAGACTGTACCAATAGTAATCGGAGAAAATGAGTATCAGGTCTGTTGGCATTTATATCGCTGTCAGTTTGAATTGGTATATCCCTGGGATATGCCAATTCAAACTGACAGGAAGATAAAATCCAACGGACCTGATATTGTCATAAAAGAGAAGAAATTCAGGAACTGTAAGCTGACATACTTCTTCGAATTTAAAACCGAATCCTTTATTGAATCCACAGGAGTAGGTCGTTTTAATTCCACCAATTCGCGCAATATCTATCCTTTTACTATCTCACAAAATCTATGTTCTGTTCATTTACACAATCTCGTTAGGTATGTTTGTTTTTTCCCTGTGTCCCTCTTATGTTCAAAATGCATTGTGAGTGTCAAATTCTCCAAGCCTTATTTCTTCATAATTTGTACTAGAAATTTTGACTGTCTGATTTTAATGATATTTTCGTTTCCATTTTCCTTAAGACTTCCTCTTTGATCAAATGCTTTATCCATGGTATTCTCTTCATGCGTAGAACCACATCTCCGTTTCCTAAAGCCTATTCTTCATCTGAAAGGAAACTATCCAGCATTCACTTCCATGTGGCAGGATTAATATTACACGGTACTTCAATACGCTTTTCTTTGTTTATCACGTCATTTTCCTGTTTCTTAATATTTTCTCTATTATTTGGATGGCATCTTTCGCGATTCCAGTGATGTTTAACATTAGTAACTTTTTAGGCTTCTAAATTAGTTAATCTTTTATGAAATGTTACCCTACGATTCCCACTGGTACCATGAAACCCACTACTACCTGCTGCATGGTCAAGTCATCGCCTACTAAACAAGTACCTCCACCTGTCCTTTCTAGAGAGTAGGGTGATCAGGGACACAGCAGGATTAGAAAAGAAGACGGATGAACGTTCATCTGACACAATGGGGTGTAATAGGTCCCATATTTATTCATGTAGCCAGGACGATGACACGGTACCTTTGGGATGAGGGCATCCTATGCTGAAAACAATAGCCAAGGTAGAGAATTCTATCGATAGGATCAACAGATAAGTGTCTGTGGCCAATCTGAACCTTCAAGTTGGGGAATATTAGGGAAATGCGGTTTGACCTGGAGAGGGATAAGTTCCAATAGGTATTTTGTTTTTATTAGTTCTCCGACCCTCAACCTATGTATGTTGTCAGGAGCTCAGCTGCGCCTTGAGTTTCCATCCACATACGGTCATGGGAATAATATTGATTTTCCAAGCGTAGCTTCGATGGAAAAGTATGCGGCACCCAGTAAGGATCGAACTCACTACTTAGTCATGAGACTAATAACGATGGTGAATTTATATTCTTTGACAATATTTAATTTATATGTTAGTTATATTTTATTGAATAATTTTGTGTCTCTCACGAGAAAGTCAAGCGTGTAAAGAAAAAAGCTTTCTATTTTCATATTTAAATAAAAAAAAAAGAAATATTTTAGAGTAATTTTCTCATCTGAAATCAACTGGATAACCAGTGTTTAAAATCTAAATTTGAAAATCTTTTATTCGGAGGTACTGATTAGACTGGCTTTTAGATTGACAAGTAAATTAGAAAAGACTCTATTCCATATATAAAAGAACATCTTTACAATTTCAAAGAACATTCTCCCAGGAGAAGCGGAAATACATGACTCTACATCGTTTCTTTGTTTTAATACTCTTTTATGATCTATTCTTTAGAAAGAAAAAAAAAAAACTTCCAGATCTTTAAATCTACTCAGTTTTCTCCAAGATATATCTGACCGATTTCAGAAAGTTCCAGTTTTAATTACAACAAAGAAAGATGTTAATTAGCAACGGGAAGTAATTATTGGTTTCTGTATCATTTAATATTTAATTGTCAAACTGATATGCCGGAAGGCATTGATAATATCGTCTAATTCTTGTTTTATTTTTTCTTCCAATTTTTGTTTCTACGTATCGTATCTTATTGTGTATAATATGACTTGAATAAAATACGATCCCGTATTTCTGAAGCTAAATAAAGGGAATAAATTACATCCTTATGTATAATAAGACCCCGTAGTAATTTGTTTTTAAAATGTGTACCATGTTATCCATAAAATCTCAAAGTCATATCCACATAAATTATCTTAATATTTTACGATTTAAATTTACAAGTACCAGTGTACACTATATATATAGCAATATATAGATATATATAGCAATATAATTCTGTCAGGATTTTTTACGTATCCCTTTTATATTGCTTTATTTTTCTCGAATTGTTTCAAACTCGATATTCTGTGTCAACAAACGGAGGAATATGAAATTATCACCCCCATTTTTAAAGCGGAAAAAAAATGTTTTATATAGGAATAGAGTGTCGCTGCCGACACTTGAATTTGAACATAGACAGCCAGCGAGCAAACACAAGCGATCCCATTATTGAATTAAATGGGTCACGTGAACATGGGAGAAATGTATAAGTAGGAAGTCGAGTGGCGACGAAATGATCGTCATTTCTAGTCTATCCTCTATTACTATACGGATCGCTATTCTCTTCTCTTCACTATTCTCTATACGAAATACTATTCAAGCGAGTATTATAGAGCAAGTACTATTAGTGCGAGATTATTCAAGAGCGTCTGGCCCAGTATTGTTCAAGGGCGTTGCTATAGTTGTATCTACGATTATAAAGTCTCTATTACAACGAACATTACGGAAGTGGCAACGGGTATTCGTTAGCATCACAAAAGTGTCAACCAGTGTTCGTTGACATCACAAAAAAGTTAAATCGTTTATACAGGAGTTGGGCCTTTGTGGTTCCCAAGTAGTAGTTCCCAAACAGTGCGACGCGCATCATAGCTGCGGCGGAAGAGGATAGCAGGTGAGGCGGAAGAGGTGATCAGGTGAGGCGGAGGAGGATAGAAAGTGAGGCGGAAGAGTTGATCAGGTGAGGTAGAAGAGATAGCAGGTGAGGTGGAAGAGGTGATCAGGTGAGGCGGAGGAGGATAGAAAGTGAGGCGGAAGAGTTGATCAGGTGAGGTAGAAGAGATAGCAGGTGAGGCGGAAGAGGTGATCAGGTGAGGCGGAGGAGGATAGAAAGTGAGGCGGAAGAGTTGATCAGGTGAGGTAGAAGAGATAGCAGGTGAGGCGGAAGAGGTGATCAGGTGAGGCGGAGGAGGATAGCAGATGAGGCGGAAGAGTTGATCAGGTGAGGCAGAAGAGATAGCAGGTGAGGCGGAAGAGGTGATCAGGTGAGGCGGAAGAGGATAGAAAGTGAGGCGGAAGAGTTGATCAGGTGAGGCAGAAGAGATAGCAGGTGAGGCGGAAGAGGTGATCAGGTGAGGCGGAGGAGGATAGCAGATGAGGCGGAAGAGCTAATCAGATGAGGCGGAAGAGGAGAGCAGGGGAGGCGGAAGAGGATAGAAGGTGAGGCGGAAGAAGAGAGCAAGTGAGGCGGAAGAGGTGATCAGGTGAGGCAGAAGAGGAGAGCAGGTGAGGCGGAAGAGGATAGAAGGTGAGGCGGAAGAGGAGAGCAAGTGAGGCGGAAGAGGTGATCGGGTGAGGCGGAAGAAGAGAGCAGATGAGGCGGAAGAGGTGATCAGGTGAGGCGGAAGAGGATAGTAGGTGAAGCGAAAGAGGAGAGCAGGTGAGACGGAAGAGGATAGCAAGTGAGGCGGAAGAAGAGAGCAAGTGAGGCGGGATGATTGAAATCAATCAAAGATTTAGAAACAGTTTTTAAAAAAATTCGTATGCCAATGTCTATATGTATATGATTTCAACATTTAACACGTTATTATAGATTACCTGTAATTGCATGCATGAATCCCAGTATAAATAGTTATAAATAATTGATTGATTTTATCATTGTGATATTTTTCCATTATATCAAGTGTAAAGAATATAGTAACTATGGTCCGCAAATTGGAGGAGAGAGTTATCAATGATAGTCTTCTGACTTTGAATGCGCAGTTATCTCCCTTTAATTCTTTCTTTGTTTTTATTTATTAAATGCACTTTTCACCACGTAAAATTCGGTGAGTCGTGAACAAATTTTCATTTCGAAAATGCCGCTAAGAGAAAAGCGTTTGGGAACCATTGTACTCAAAAGATAACAGATATTTTGTATTTTTTCAATTTGTCGTTGAATTTCCTGTGTTTGAGGCAAATGGCGCACAATTACGCTGATTCTCAAAGAACAAATAGTGTTGACATATAAAATACCTTTTGTAAACATTTGTTGTCAGCACCTGCCTACTTTGTGGTTCAATATCTATTGTGCTAAGTCAGTATATTTACAATCTTTCTATTTTAAATAAGAGTTCTTAAGCTGAGTAAAAATGTCTGAAAACGTGTATTGCCTATAATACGACCTGCTTTTTCACCTTTAATTTTTGTTAAACATTTCTCGTATGATGCACAAGAAAATAAGATACGTTGAAGGCGCTTTCATTTTTAACTTCGAACACCATGTAAATTAAATGGTAGACAATACGTTATGGTTTTAATGTACCTTCTGCTATCATTTGTACAATACTCAAAGTGTGATATGTGTGTTTGTAAGTAACGTTTAAGTAACCGAAACAAGTTTTCAGGTTTTATGAATTGAAAACCTAAAATGTTCTAATACAAAAAATACAAAGATTCTGGGAAACTGAAAAAAAAAATATATATTTTTACTGAAATGGAAAAAAAAATTACAAGGGAGATAACTATTAAAAGTTAATTTTAAAGTACAATCCCATATTCTTTTATCTGCTTGTAAAAAATGGCTCCATTTTTAACATGATAGTAGAAGATGGCTTCATTTGCAAAAGAACGAATTCAGTAAAAAATACCTTTTAACGATTATCTCCCGAAAGAAGTCATAATGAATAAGAGATTTGCCTAGTACAATTCTTCGTAATTTATTCTTCCCTCATTTTTAAAGATCAAAATTTACCGGGAATCAAGAAGCCGGAAGACCGGCTTCTTGATTCCCGGTAAATTTCCACAAACGAGAATAGAAGAGACACTTAGCATAGAATTTACGGTTACATTTAGCTATTTCTACTGTAAAATCTTGTATCGCGCTTAATTTCAGAAAGTCTACGTATCAAAGAGTAAAGATCAACAGAACGATTACCATGAAAGTATTTATAGAAAAAGTGACAGGGAAGTTACATTACGGCGGTGGGAAAATGACTAAAGTCGAGATGCCAGGTTAGGTTAAATACCATTGCAGATTCCTCTTGATATTTTATCAAGAATCTCTAAATATATAGCAGGAGCAACAGACCATATATACAAAGCATGAACGATTTGTAGACTTATAAATATGTAAGATAAATTCTAGTGAAAAAAATTGTCTAGCACGACGCAGTGAACCGATTTTCTTAGCATCAGATCAAGAAACAGATTCAATATAATCGTCTCACTTTATATTAGCGGCAAACATTAGTGGAAGAAGGTGCAACGAGTCATTGTCCTGGAGGTTAGCATCAGCCATACTGGAAACATAAGGGAGACATAAAGAATTCTCAGGCGATTAAAAGACAGTATTTTTTTGGTTTTAATTATTTCACCCCAAGCAAGGCGGTAACTGTTACGTAGGGAAGTTAAGGGAGTGAAAGTAAAAGACAATGAGGAGACTGATAATAGCGAGGATTTAGCAAAGAACAAAAAAAGAACAAAATGGTTCAAGAAAATCGAAGATGGCGATTGGTATCACATTTACATTTTTGAAGATTATATTTATCATGGAAGCAATGTAATTCCACAAGATGCAAGTGCGAGAAAAGAAATTGGAGTATAAATGGCGGTTTCATTTAACTGTTTCAACAGTAAAAGGGTTGGAATTTGTTGCCAATCTAGTTGCATGCTTACATTCATATATTCAGGGCACTGCGGAAAAAAAAAACCTCGTCAGAGCAATAGCCATGAAAATATTTATAGAAAAAACAGAAAGATTCCACCCCACGTCGATGAGAAAGTGGATGATGTCGAGATGCCAAGCCACGATAGATTACATATTTTGTCAATAACCTCGGGATGAATAGCAAGGGCACAAGACCAGATATTACAGCAGTATTCAACGCACCGACGAATGGTAGATTTGTAAATGTGCAAGATGGACTCTGACAAGAAAATTCTTCTGGCACGACACAGTAACCCAACTTTTTTTGGATACGTTAAAATTAACGAGTCATTCATTGCCCCAGTTAACAACAGATTTTATGTCATTTTTAAACATCTCAACTTGATTAAGAATTGGGTACGATTGAATGAATTTATATTGAAATAATGCGAAGATAATTCTAAGACTGGCCAAATCTCAGGGACGCGTTTGAAATATTTCTCAGTTCTGTTTCTATTGTAGACTACATTGAAATATGAGGCATCCACAATTCACTGGAACTCATGCAAATGCATAAATAGGCAACACTTATCAAATAAACCTTTTTATGCTCCAGGCGAAAACACAGACTTCACTCGGTAACAAAAGGCTTTATGCACCAAAGGTAGACATCTTTATATTTTAGGACTTTTTCGTTCGAGAATATATATCTGAGTTGAATAATTTCAATATATATCCCCTCAAGTCAAATAAAATTATCTAAAATTGGGCTACTTTTGCACAACATTTACTTGCTGCTCTACATTCTATGATGATCACAGAGGAAAGACATTTCTGAAAGCAAAAAGGACACAGACTGAAAATAGCATTGTTTAGAATACTACTTTCATTTCTGGATGTTCTTGTACGAAGTAGTTCTTTTATATTTCGTATAGAATGCTATAAATTTTTGTTCTTATTGAAAGATAGCATTTACTCCATGTTTTTTTTTTTTAAGTTTCAAAAGAAAATGAAACCATTGTTTTCGTCTTTTTTTTATTAACTTTCTCTAAATATGAATTATTATAATTATTTTCATAGACACTTTTAATATGCGAAAGTTTATCCAACGGAAGACATGGAATTCACTCAAGGTAAAGATATAATGTAAACAAAATGATAGTCTTGAATAATTAGGATCAACCGTTATAATTAACAGTTGTAAAAGATAGTGTATATCAAAATTGTATTCCACTGTTGTTTTATGTGAAGTGTAAGAGCTTTCTTCCTGTTGAATATCTCAGGTTTTTCACCGCTAATATTGTACATCAGTTCATAACTTTATTCTAAATTTCACCCTGTACAATCGAAGAAATATCATACTCTTACCGGGGATGATTAAACGATACATGTTTGCTTTTTAAGGCAGTGATGGAAAATGTCCATAGGGAAAACGTTAATGATAATAAAAAAGAAAGTAGTACTAAAAGGAAACTGAATGTGGGCGTTTCATATTAATGGAAGAGAAGCTTTTTAGAAATTAAAATTATGATGATTAGGAGAAATATTGACAACTGGTCCTTGGCATGCCGAAGGCTATTATGTAACGTTCAATGTAGTCTTTTCAACTATGTGTTAATTCTTGGAAAAAATCAGTTTGCATAGAACTTTCTCCTTATATTTGGAACACGGGGGAACTAAAAATGAGTCGAATATATGGAACTGGCATGTTGTATCCTAGATGTAAAAGTCTGAACTGGTGGAACTAATTAATGAGGCTCACCTGAACATTTGCCATGGAAGGTTGCAAAGTTGCGTCTGTGAGGAAAAAGTTTGTAGACTGGAAAATAAGATATGGCGGCAATACTTCACTTTGTGTCTTATCTGACACATTCAAAGATAATTCATGAAAGGAGATAGTTCCTGGGACGATAGAATGAACCAACCGCAATGCTAGCAACTTTGGTGATAGAATGAATTTAAGAATTCCACTTGAAGTCTGGAGTGAAATCGATGACCCAAAAGGTGTCCGTTTAGTGAGTAGAATTCATTTCAATCGGAGAAAAATCATACTCTTACCGGGGATGATTAAACGATACAGGCTTACATTTTAAGGCAGTGAAAGTTATAAGGCAGTTATTTTCTCTATTTGGCTTCCACCCACCACGCATCGTGACACCAGTTCCCGTATGATCACCGAAGTTAAGCAACGTCGAGCCTATTCAGTACGTAGATGGGTGACCGTTTGGAAATGCCAGGCACTGTAAACTTGAGATGTGTGGGTGGAGTAGGACGTTTTCGTTTGAGAATATATATCTGAGCTGAATGGGCACCTCGTCGTGGTGTAATGGTTAGAAAGCTTGTCTTGCTAGATCAATTACGACTGAGTAGTGAGTTCGATCCTCACTGGGTGTCCCATACTTTCGGCCTTGTGCCACACCTAAGCCGGGCTTAGAAAATCACTATATCTGAGCTGAATAATTTCAATATTTATCCCCTCAAGTCAAATAAATTTATCTAAAATTTGGCTACTTTTGCATAAAATTTACTTGCTGTTCTAAATTCTATGATGATCACAGCGGAAAGACATTTCTTGCTAAGCACTGTACCACATCGAAGTTTCCCCAAAGCTCAAGAGAAGAGGGGTAATGATAACAAAAAAAAATATTCAAGAAGAATGAAAAATGCATAAAGTGCTTAATAGTTCGGGATTGGAGTTCCAATTTTGTAGTGGGATCATTATATTCAATTATGCACACATACCCTTGGAAAAGGTATGAATCCACCTCTTCTCCCCTCAGCTATCAGTTAATTAGTAAGGAGTTTATCCTTAAATGATTATGACCAAAAACATTTTTACAATATAGAAAATACTTTATGCTTTTAAATAAGCTGGAATGGATGGATAAGCCGTAGAAAACGAACGGATCAATTAATTTATTTACACATTGAGCTGTTACAGCAAGATCGTATGAGTGATCAGCTACCAGCACTAATCTTCTATTTTTTGCGAAGTAAGTACATGCCTGTACAATAGTTTTCATCTGTACTGATATTTAACAGTGATGGATAATGTCCATAGGCAAAACGTTAATGATAAAAAAAGAAAGTAGTACTGAAAAAAGAAAGCTGCGGGGGTGGTCTGAATTGTTATGAGGTCCAGTAGTCTGACCGCTCTTTGCAACCTTCATGGACCGACCTGCTTGAAAGGACTTGATTATCATGTAAACTCTTTTAGATAAGCCATAGATGGAATTTTCCCTTAGCAACCCGTTATGCTACAGCTTTTTGACACATCTAAGGCAATCGGTCTTTTAACAAAGCTACCATCGAACTTAAAATATTGCCTGCGTTTTTTTTGTTTTTGCTGTTAACACAAATGATTTTATCGATGATTTCTGTTCTCAGAAGAACTATTTCCATTGTTCTATACACTATTCCAGTTATCCGAGGTCTGGTCTTATTCGGTTCAAGTTATCTGCGGTTAATACCAGAAATTAGAAATTTACTTTATTAAAGCTCTAGAGAAGAGATTTTAAGTAAACGTGGCGTGCTTGTGACACTCAGTCGTAATTGATCTAACGAGACAGGCTTGCTAACCATTACACCTCGCAGAAGTGCTCAAATAATTTTCTCAGCGGAGATTAGATATGGAAACAAGGCCGAAAGGTTAGAGCATCTCACAATTCAGTCGTGATTGATCGAGCGAGACAAACTTGCTAAGGATCGTAGCACGTCGAAGTGTTCCCAAAGCTCAAGAGAAGAGGCGTAATGATAATAAAAAAATATTCAAGACTAGCAGTAGAGCCCGGCGTTGCCCGGGGATGTAACAGTAAGAGATAGATCAAGTATCCACCATCATAAAGACTGAAAAATAAAATTGACGAAGATTATTGTTTAAGGTTGACGGACACGCATGTCTTAATTATTTTTTTTTTTTTACGAATTGGTCAAACTCAAACAAAAACATTGTTTTCAATCGTTATGAGTCTACCGATTGAATAGAATTTTATTATAAACAATTGTCTTGTAAATGGAATTTTTAAAGCATTCTGAATGTAAAAATAAAGAAAAAAGTGTAAGACAATAAGAAACACTACCTGCCAAAAAAAAAGTGAAGTTTTGTTGAAATCGGTTGAAAAATGTAGGAAATCCGATCCCATATGTAAACGAACACACACACACATACAAACAACCTGGGTTTTATAATAAGTATAACTCGATATGAGCTGTCCCCCTTTCATTGTCGTGATGCCTCTTAATCGTGTTTTCAAATTGATTTCGTGCAAAACAATTGTTTTTTTTTTTCAATTTTTGGCGCTGTCAGAACCACCTCAAGGTAATTTTACGTAGTCATGTGAAGTTTTGTTGAAATCTGTTGAAAAATGTAGGAAATCCGATCCAATATATAAATGTACAGACACACACACACACACAGACAGTCTGCGTTTTATTATAAGTAAGATTAATGAAAAATACATAAAGTGCTAATTTTCAATAATAAGATTAAAAAGAAAGGGACGCAAAACAAGCAGGAATACAGGATGCGATAGATAAATTGTCGTCTACATGATTCAGAAATGAAAATAACTTTTTAACCGATATATGTATCAAAATTATACAAAAATGTCTTGAAATACTACTAAGTAAATTCATTCAATAAAATCACCATTGGCTTCAACCACGGCTTCCAGACAATTTCGGAATCTCCTGCAAATCTTCTGAACTGTCGCCTTGTTTAAGCTGCTGAATGCTGCCATATTCTTTGCCTTCAGTTCATCTTTATTGTTACAAGGAATTTTGTTGGTCTCTCGCTCAGCTGCGCTGTCCACATAATAATCAACAGAAGTGCAGTCTGGGCAATTTTTCAGCAAACGATGGACACAATGCTCACGGGCCAGAATTTCGCGACCGCTTATCTGGATGACATTACAATTAAGAGCGACAATGTTGAAGAGCACACATCACACATAAAGGAAGTTTTCAGAAGACTTCAGGACTTTCAAAGTAAAAAGAGAAAGTGTGGTTTTTTTCCTAAATGAAATTAAATATTTAGGTCAGATAATAAATGAAAATGGCAGGAAACCGGACCCAGAGAGGGCATCGGCAATTAAAAATATGCCGGAACCCAAAAATGTTGCAGAACTACAAAGTTTCCTGGGCCTAGCTAACTACTATGGCGAATTTATTGATAATGTGCATAAACTGAGGGCTCCACTAAATGAGTTACTAAAGAAGGAACATAATTGGAATTGGACAGAGGACTGTAAAAAAGCATTTAAGGAAATAATACAAAAATTAACTTCAGAGTTAATATTGACACATTTTGATCCTGAACTCGAAATCATTATTGCAAGTGACGCGAGCTCACATGGGGTAGGTTCGTGTATTTTACACAAGATGCGGAACGGTACAAACAAACCCGTTGCACACGCATCTAGATCATTATTACCGGCAGAGAGAAACTATTCACAGATCGAAAAGGAGGCATTAGGCATAATTTTTGCAGTAACTCGTTTTCACAGATATATTTATGGGAGAGAGTTCACACTCCAAACAGACCATAAACCATTTCTTACGATTTTCGGTTCAAAAAACGATCTACCGGTCTATACAGCGAACAGACTTTTAAGATGGGGAACTGTGTTACTAAACTACAATTTTAAACTGGAATTCTTACCATCAAAGAAAATAGCATACGCTGACGGACTATCGCGATTAATACCTGCGAAAAGCGAACCGTTAGAAGATTCGGTAATTGCAGCATTACAAGCTGAAGATGAAATCAGTAAGGTACTATGCAATACAATAAAGGAACTACCTGTAACGCTACTAGAGATAAGACGAGAAGCAGAAAGAGACGAGTTTATTCAGGATACCAAGATAGAAAGGGTGATGTGATCACAGAAATTGTCTGACAGCCATTTCTTCTGCTTGTGTGGTATGTTTCCTGTTGCCAGACATAGGGTCTTCCAGTAGCCATCCTCCTGCCCCAGGGCAGCATTATCTCCTGAAGGCACTTCATGTGGGTCTCCTTGTTGAGACTGAGTCTCTCACAAAGAAATTCGGGAGTTCTTTTCCCATCAGAACGGTCAGAGTGAATTTTCCGATCTGCCGTACCTTCGTAATCACCATTAGACTCATCCAACTCTTTCCGAAACATCTGCACTGTCCTCAGATTGACACTCACTATGTCCGTATTGGAGATTCCGGCGCGAATGCCAAGTAGTACCGCATGCGATTTCCAAATTTCTGGCGGAGTGAAATGCGTCATGGTACTTTTTTTATCACAGACGATGTCCAACTGACCCTACTATACTGCGCAGTCGGCTAAATCAAAAAAACAAACAACGCGCATGCGCCAAATTAAAAATATAAAATAGCGACATTACATCGATCGAACCCTGTATAGGTGGGCTGTTCTAACCTTCATCGTCGGCGGTCAAATCTCCCCAAAATTTCATGTCGTTTGGTCTTTAAATATAATAAATTTGGTCTTTTTGTTCTCTCGCATGTACCTTTTTTCGCTATTCATTTTCACAAGTTCGCTAGGTGGATTGTGCGTCAATCCTCTATCCCTTTGCCTTCGGATTTTCTAAGCCCTCTTTCCTCATTATGTGCCCTATAAACTTCAACTGTCTTTTTCTAACGTTTAAGTATAAGTGATTTTTGTTTCCATCTTCTCTAAAACTTCATCGTTTCTCATATGTTCTGTGCCTGGTATTCTCAGCATCCTTCTGTAGGACCGCATTCCTGTCGCTTCAAGTCTTTTCTCTATTTGTGAGTTGATTATCTAGCATTCACTGCCATATATGAAGAGTATTATTACATAACATCTCAGTACTCTTTTCTTAGTTTCTGGTGGAACTTTTCTTTTTTTTAGCTTTTCGAAGGCATCTTTCGGTATCTTATTGCACTTTCGGATTTCAGTGTCTTATTATCCGCCCTCCATTAAAATGCCTCCTAGATATTGAATATTTTTAACTTGTTCGATTTTGGTAGCTCGAATTTGTAATTTACATGTTAGACTTAAGTAGAAATTGGATGCGGTTGAATCTTATGAAAATATCTTGTGTGGAAAAAATATTTTCAGAGCACTATACAAAAGTAATTTCAGACTAAAAACGGAGCATTGCTGATATATCTGCATTGGCACTGCACAGTCATAATTTTCCAACATTAACAGACTTCAATATCTGTCTGTATTTCTGAGATAAGGTACTACAATTATTTATATTATTTACATTGTTTACCATAAAAGCGTTGG